GTGCTGACCATTTTTCGACATGGCATCCTCCTTCGCCTCCTCCTTCCTCATGCATTCATTTCACTTTGCACTATTTTCGGATTAAGTCCTGCGCCTGTCATGTTGATTTGTATGTCTTTGTGTGAATGAGGGGAAGGATGTGTGTATGTGTGAACCAGAGTGTGTTCGTGTGTGCGTGTGTTTGAGCCACGTCTGCGGTTGCAGCGCTTTTGGCATTTTGCGTTGGTGTCGGAAAAGTTGAATGATGGCGTTTGCCTTCACTCAACCCAACTTTGACCCCTCCCCCCATTCTTGCCTGCTTCATGTGTGCGTTTGGGACCCAAATATTGTTAATCCCATTGATTTGTGTTAATGATTGTCATTGACACTGTTGACAGAACTGTTTGCCGAACCCATGTCCATGAGCCTGCTGCCCTCCACCCCTTGACCTCGCCCCCTTGCCACCCAACATTTTGCTCCCTATTCGGGAGCCGTTTCCGTATCCGGTTCTGCGGTCACTGGTCCTTGGTCTATGGTGTATGTTTGGTCTATGCTCCCCGGTACCTCGCTGGAAGCCAAAGCCAAATTTTATGAACGGCCACCGCAGATGCCAGCTGAGGTGCTAAATTCAGTTTTGGCTTTGTTTAAATTTCCTGCTGCCCACTAAAGCTTGAACCCTCCGATTTCCCAACACAGAACAAAATTTCAGGTGACATCTTAAATCAGAAAATTTAGTTATATTTAAGGTGAAAATTATATTATTAAGCCTTATATTTATGATACTCTGATCGGTGATTAAAAGTTGTTAAAAGTCAGTTTCCGGATTTTGCAATAATCACTTTTAGAAATGAAAAGAAAAACTGAGAAAGTCTTTAAAGTATCATGTTCAGGGAGATTTTTTCTTAGTGCTTAACAGCCGAAGGACAATTCTCGCCGGCTCACTTGAGCGGCTGCAACTTGGAAATCTCAAGTGGACGAAGTCCGGGATGTGTGACTCCTCCTGCCCTTCCACCTGCAGTCACCAGATCTCCCTGCCACTGTTTGCTTTGGTACTTGGCTTGTATTGATATTTCACGAGAAATCAACACAACATACAAATAGTCAAGCACAGGCTTCCTCACCAGCACCACCTTCCTTGGGCCCACTTACCTTTGAGAGATTTCCAACTTTGTCACCATTTGCAGCGGAAATGAAAAATCAAATCGAAGAAAGGCACAGGAAATGTAGCTCTTCGCTTTTCACTTCAACTCTGCTGGGTGTGTGCTAGTGTTAGTGTTATAGTGTATATGTGTGTGTGTGTTTGTGCTGTTTAAATTTAGCCAATGTCTATAGAAGTGACTGCTGGAGAGGCTCTCCACTGTCTACTACAAAACTCTCTCCATCTGGATCTGTAAATGTATTTGTAAATGTCCTTGCCCAGCTCCACGTGGCTCCCTATATGTGTTTGGCAGTACTAACACACATGTCAGTGTGTCGTTGGTAATACCAATAGGTATATCCCACTCCAACTTGGAGTCAAGCTTAGACATCAAATTGTGTTTTCATTGTTTTGTTCAAAGTTGCTTTGGATACTCTTTGAAATTTGTTGGTAAGATGTCTTAAAAAGTCAAGTTATAATTATAATTAATCAGAATTAGCCATTAAATCGGTTTATATATCGAAATCCTGAAAGTTAAGTATATCCCATGAGATAGTAAATAAAAATTTTGTTAAATCCACAAATAAAAATCTACAAATCCTTACATGAAATCTAAGCTTTCAGCTTAGGGGCCATTATCTTTGCAATTCATATCTCAAGAATGACTCTTGTTAACTGCATCTTTGTATCTAACAATAGCTCCTTACCATTCACTTCTAACTTTTTTTGCATTTTCCGAAGAGTAACCGAACTTCGATTGCGCCAAGTCAGCGTCATTCACTTGTTTTCTCTGGGCATTTGTCTGCGCTTGAGACGTTTTTATCGTCTTGGCCATAAGCCTAAACAAATACAAACAATTTTGCCTGAACTGAAAAGAGAAAGAAAACACGAGAAAAACGGAAACAGTAGAGCCAACAAAACTGAAGCATCTACCATCTAGCAGCGCGCACTGAAAAACAAATTGTAAAAATCTCGAAAAAATATAAACAGAAATCAGCAGTCCAACAAGGGAAAAAAAACAACGAGAATGGAAAGAGCAAACGTTGTATAAATGAAGGAAAATCAATTGATTTCAGCTCAGACAGCTAGCTCTGTGCTCTGTACCCAAACCCCAAAAAATCCACAAAAACCCAAACCCAAGACCAAGTACAAAATGAGACAAAACTGTTGCTCTTGATTTATTGAAATCATTTACCGCAAATCAGACAATTCCCGCACAAACTGTACAACTAATTAAATGATGAATGCCTGCGACAATAGCTCAGGGACTTAGAGTCACCTCACCGGGTGCCCAAGCAAATGGAATTCCCAGAAGTTTGATTGAACAATGAATGATTTAATTAATAAATAAACAGGTGTGTGTGTGTACGTGTACGTGTCTCTATATCAATGCGCAATGCAAAATTTCAATTGCAGCACAAGTGTGGCACAACAATTAATTATTGAGCTCGATGTGCGTCTTGTTCTCGATGCTCCCTTCACAGGTGCAACGGTGCGTATGCGTGACAACGTGTTGCAACACATTTGCCTATTGCCGATTGCCGTTTGTCGATGGCAGTTAGCAGTTGGCAGTTGCAGTTTGAAGTTTACAGCTTTACTTCCATTTAGTCGACTGTTTACTGTTTGCCAAATTCCGCCTGCTGTTTGATTTCAACTGCAAAATGGACCACAAATCAAATGGACAAAGCTACAAAGTCACACATCGGATGGACAGATCGATTGAGAATTGGGCAAATAGAATACTGTAGTTGCAAAGCTAACTGAATATAAGACCCAGTTTCAGTTACGCTTACACACTAGCTATCCACTTGCAACATTGATTTCGTCCATCAAATCAAATTACCATATGCCATGAGGAAATCCAAAAGAAAAGGTTAATTCCCGACCAAAGTCGAGGCAATCAATTCACCATTGTCGGGCTGCTGGTTGGCTGCTGCTCAATATTCTAGTGAACATTTCGTATTTATTGCGGTCTGCTCTAAGGAACTGAGAAGGAGGTTTTCTGGAGGACAAGGGGGTTTCCAGAAAGGGGTTTTCTGAGCCGCAAACTAGTTGGCTGAGTACTTCCCGATGCGCGGCAACCGCAACACAGCACACAGAAACTTTCGCAATCGAAAAGGATAGCCTGAAGGGGGCAGTCGAGAAAATTTGTGTGAGTTTCTGATGCAGCAGCTGCTGTTGCTGTTGCGAATGGGGCGGGGGGAAAAACCTCCTCTGCCCCTTCTTGAAAAACCTCCACCCATTGCTATACACTGTACTGTAGTGCCTGACTGCCATTTGGCGAATTGTTTCATTTTGCCAGCAATAATGCCTAAGCCATCAAAGCCGCATAATACAGAAAATTTCGAAGCCATGTCGAATATGTTGCCTACCTTGAGGCACTTTTCGGGTACTTGCTACTTGGTACTTGCTACTTGATGAAAATGCAATTAGTGCGCGATTTGAATTTGATACCCCAGAGTATTCGCACTCGCTAAGTGAAGAAGAAGTTGCTTTCGCTGGCAAAAGACAAAAGAATTCAATTATAATTGCATTATGGCTAAAAGTTTGGGCTCATCATAATGCGATCAAAATATTGCAAATTAAACGCATTTGTAAATCCATTGAAATAGCCTGCTATTGGGCGAAATGGAAAATGGCAAACGGAAAATGGAAAATGTGAAATGAGAAATGGTAATTGGGGAATGGCGAATGGAGGTCGATTAGGCAGGCGAGTCGTCGCACTTAAATGGCTCAATCAGACGTGAAATTTGTTCATTTGCGCCAGCCGAGTGCATGAACAAATGCATGATTGAATGGAAAGCACACTCACACACACACACACACACATACAGCAATGTCACACAGATACTCATACACACGCTTACACAGAGAGGAGAAAAGCAGGTGCCTAGACATGTAGAAAGCGTGACGTCAAAAGGTGAACGAAATGAAATTGAAATATAAATACAAAACGCATCAGGCGCATAAGCAGTGCAATCAAGCGCGAAATCTGTGCACAGCAATGCATAACTGCAGTCTCTTTATGCGAAAGGGACGGCTAGAACAAAGCCGAAAGAGATGGGTAGAGTGGGCACCAGATGAGAGAGGGAGACTCTCATCTCACATTGACTGTCAACTAGGAATGTGTAGACATCATTTAAGTCACTCCCGCATACAAACACACACAGACACACAATCAGACAGAGAAAGGGATAGGGAATGGTTATTAGAAAGAGAGCACATATACACAGAAGCTGCCAATAGAAAGAGATGGCCGCTGATGGTGAACCGCCAAGGCAACTGCCAATACATTGACATTATTGACTTGCTGTCGTGGCATGCAAATAACAATACCAACGCTCCACTGCATTTTCCCAATTCGAACCTCTCATCTCGAGGGCTGCAAAAATATTTTCCAGTCGAGACACAAAAAAAAAAATTGGCAGCCATGCGAGCCGTCAAAACAAACCCAGCTAAACAACAATAGGGGGAAAAACAAAAACATCTGACAACAATGACAGCGTCAACTACCAACCAAAAACTATTCCATAACATAAATAGTGATATCAAAAAACAATGGAAAGAAGTTTTGAACCGTTTAATTTGACTAACAGGCGAGCTTGATTTGATTACTTAATTAAATTAACTTCGTTATTTATCTACTTATAAAGAAACTCTTTCGAGTCGTTATGATTTCCTTAACTAAACTGCAAAGTAAAGACGAAGAACTCATATAACTTCAAAGGGCTTCCTGTGTATAACTTATTCCGATTAATTTACTGACCTTAAATAACCGGTTTAACTACATCTCAATCTCCAGAGATGATCTCGAACAAGTTGGTGACTCAGAGCACCCACAACCCATTGTTCAATTGTTAGCCAAACATCGATGAGCTTTAGTTGGATCTCAACATGCCAAGCGAATGGGGTAAGAGAATTTTTAATCCAGTGTGAGTTTAATATATTTACAAAAATCATACCTGTGCCTCCTTACTATATCCCATAGTTTTCCTAATCATCAGCCTGATCCCGATGGCTTACGCGGGCACAACGGCGCCATCGATAAGCGCCAGCCCCATTGTTTTTGCCCGGAATCTCTTTCGGGCCCTCAACGATGAGGCACAACCAGCGAATATAATGGTTTCTCCAGCTGCTGCCCGTAGTGCCATGACCTTGGTCTTCATTGGATCCGCAGGGAAAAGTGCCGATGAACTGCGCTCCAAATTGATCCTGGGAGCGGCCAATAAGTCGCAAATCGCCATCCAACATGCCGAGGCCTGGAGTGCAGAGTGTTCCTGCGCCAGAAATGGAGTGGGTATGCGGTTGGTAACCCGTTTGTATGTTAATCAAGAAGAGAAAATACGGCCGGACTTTAATAACCGGGCCATGGAGTTCTTCAATGCCCAGGCACACTCTCTGAATTACCTAAACCCCGAAGATTCCATCAAACAAGTCAACAATTGGATGGAAAAGCAAACATTTTACACCGTAAGAAATCTGGTTACCCCAGAGGTCTTCAATGCCGATTCCAGTGTTATTCTGGTCAACTCTCTGTTCTTCCGTGCCAAATGGGAAAAGATATTTCCTCAGCAACTTACCAAGCTCGGAGACTTTTGGATTAATCTCCGCCAGCGAATGGAGATACCCATGATGACACAGATTGGCCTGTTTCGTTATGGAGAGTCCAAGAAACTTAAGTCACAAATTCTACAATTACCTTTTGAGAAGTCCAACTTGACCATGATGATCATTCTGCCCACAGCTATTGATGGCTTGGCCAAATTGGAGGAGAAACTGGAGCATGTGGATATGAACGAAGTAGCTGCCAAAAGTCTGTTGACCGAAGTGGATGTGACAGTTCCGAAATTCAAAATGGAATGCGATATAGACTTAAAATATCCACTACAGAAGGTAAGAAAAGGTATTCGTTATTCATTTTAATAAATTAATTTATATCTTAGCTGGGAATCAATCGCATTTTTGAGCCTGATCAGGCGGACTTGAGTGGCCTTTTTGCCAAAAAGACACCACAAAGCATTTCAGAGGCCAGGCACAAACTATTTCTAAATGTCACCGAAACAGGATGCGAAACGGAACCAGAACCGGGTAGGAACTCCTAAGGAATTACATAAAATTATATTAAATCATTAAATTTTATATTTTTAGATACTCAACCCGAAGAAGTCAAAAAGAATCCCCATCGCAAGGTCTTCAAGGTCGACCGTCCATTCGTTTTCGCCATTCGCAGCAAGAAAAACGTTTATTTCGTTGGCCATTTCATTAGGCCCTAATTGCGCGCGGAGTGTTGCAAATATTTTGATGGCAATGGCCCGCAGGCAATCACGGCCAAATGGCCATATCCCAATGAACATCAAATTATTGCCAAACAAATGTACACAATGCATTCGAAATACAAAAAAACAGCAGGCACAGGCAAACATTTGAGCGGTGGAAAGACTTTGGGGGGTGTAAAATAAATGGCAACATGGCTGCCCGGACAGATCATTGCGAAAATTCGCAGATAGAAGCAAAACGAAGAAAATAAGAGGGGGTGGTGGTTTGTATCAAAAGGGAAAATGGTAGGAAATGGCAACAAAGAAACGGCGGCTGGCCAAAACCAAATGAAAAGTAAGTTGGATGAAAATGGGTAATAAACCAAAAGTTTAAATACACTTTTAGATTTAATAAAAAAATATTGAAATTGTTCTTTTAAGAAGTACATAAATTTGTATTGTAAAGCCTTAATTAGCCAAGCTTAGAATATGCTAATCTACAGTCTTTAAGTTTAACTATAATTACAACCAACAAATAGTTTAGTGGCCACAATCGAGTTAAAGAAACCAATCCTAGCTTAAAGCAGCCGCAAAAGGACATAAAAGGACAGCAAAAATATGTTTACCCCCCGTGAGAGTAGAGAAAAGCGGCAGCAAACGAGCATCGCCGGGATTCTTTTGCCCGGCCAGGGAAGCCAACTTGTTAGCCAATTTTAAATACAACTGCTGCCACTGACAGTAATCAAGATTGCACGGCAATGCCGGCGCGGCTACAACAATGCCAAATGCCATTCCGGCCAGCAAGGGCCAACAATTGAAAAATAAGTAATTTCTCAACTGTAGTGAACTTCGCAGAAGAATCAGTAGGAGCATCATGGAGGAAGTGGAGGAGCACTAAGGAGGAGGAGCATCAGCAGCAGGAGCGGGAAGAACAACAGCTGAAACAAGCAGCCAAAGTCCGAGCTGGAATCGGAATAGGAATCGGAATCGGAATCGCAGGAGATGGAGTCGCTCGTCCGGTTGGAAAACGAAAACTTTGCCCGTCCAATTCATCGATGATTGTCGTGCAACGCGATGTGATTCTGATTCTGGCACCGTCGTCGTCTGCCATTGATGGTCATTCCAGTCGTAGTAGCAGCAACAGCAGCAGCAGCAGCAGCGACAGCAGCCGGTGTGGCACAAATGTTTATCTTTCCCCCGATTTTTGCCCCAATGGAGTAGTAGAAGATGGCTCTTCCGTCATCGCAGCGGAAGTGCAGCTGCACAAACTTTGGAAACACCCAGGGGAAGTGCCTAGTAGTATCGAAAGGGGGAGACAGGGAGTTAGCTCTCTCTGGCCATGGCATCTGTGTCAAATGCTAATGCAAAATGTCACCATAATCAAATTACCGAAACTGGGCAACAACCAAATGAATTCCATTGCCAGGGCTGGGGCTATGAATAATTACTAGCAAAATAAATATGGAATTTCATATTGCAAATACTTCGGCATACAAACTCGCATACGAGTATATAGTACTTACTCCTACATATATAATCCAATTAATTTAATTGCTATGCATACGCTCGTGTTTGATCCACTCGAAATGCCAATATCTAATGGCCACAATTGTGCAGTTGCATAATCTATGGAAGCAAAAAAGAAATAGTTGACCTCGCTTTTTCCGTGCATAATTAATTTGAATATGAATATTATTGGGTATTGGGCAACAGTCCTTTGAATTATGGTCAAATGAGGAGTGTATAGTGCGGAGCTAGAACCGATTTCGAAATGTAATTTAAAACCAATCAAACGCATCCACATGCAACAACGAGCGGCAAATGCCGGCGGTCACAAAATGCATTAAGCATCTTTGTTGGCCTTAGCTAAGAGATTGTTTACTAAAGGGGGCGGTGTCGTTGCATTGGGGCAGTCATATCGGCCACCCGAAATCGGATATAGGTGGAGGCAATTGCTGCACAATGGGGCAAGCAATCCATTTAATAGTTGCCACAATAAGGGTAACCGGATCTGCATTATGAAACAATCACTTGTCCATGTGCAAAATTAGGTTAACTCAAGTCGTAGGAGCTCAACATGGCTGTGTTCTAGTGCTCCACTTTAAGGGGACATCTTCTGGGTAATGAGGTACAAATTAGGTTAATTAAAAGTTTGATAAATCAAAAACTAAGTTCGATATATAAAGTTTAACTTTTTTTTAGAATTTTTTAATATTTCTAGAACGATCTTCTTCAGCTTTTATATGCCAAATTCACTCACATTTCTTAGATCTCATCCTAACTTATCTTTAAGCTATCATTTGACTATGGCAAAGTTAATCAACTAACTGCTCCACCAGCCACGCCTCCTTAGCCTCCCCTTTACTGCCCCAAAGAGCCATCCCCTTGAGAAGCTAAAACTAACTTATTTATGGGTATCCCTGACTTTGACTTACGTGCCTGCCATTCGAATGAAGTTTCACTCCTTGCGAATCATATTCATATGAGCTGTGTCCTGTTGGTTCGTGTGGATATTACCATTCCACAGGATTCTGCAGGTCTCCTTCGGCCTGCGTCGTGAGTGTCTATTGCTGCCCGTGCCACATGCTCCAGGAAATTACATTTCAATTTTAAAACGACTCTCATTGCCAGCTTCCGTTACAGTTGCTCACCTCCATTTGCCCATCGCGGCAGGTGGCCGTGTGGCAAGTGTGGCAGATGTGGCAGGTGTGGCATTTTCGGGGGCGGGGCCGTGAAGGTGAATGGCGAATCGGTAAGGGAACGGCATCACACAAAATGGCCTGCCATGAGCGGCACTTATCGCTCGACTGCAGCTTAAGCGCCGGTTAATCCATCACAAAAGTGCATGCATTCCACTCCCCTCCCATCCACTCGACTTCATGTTGCATACCCCAACAATTTCCATGTGCTGCGGGGCGTGCAAAGTGCTGCCGTTGCTGATAATAAGCCGTCATCCAGGCAAAACTCCTGATGAGCTGAAACAGAGGCCCAAACTGACGTTGCACCGAAAGAAATTTCTTGTGGGATTTCTTAATTTGTTACTTTTTTTTTAAGTTATATCTTAGACAACCTAACATTCTGCTTGGTTCTAATTCTAGTTTATAATTTACTATTATCATTTTTTATCCCAAAAGTAAAACAAGTTTTTACAACTTTCTAATATCATCGTTGCTTATTTAACAGTTCTTCTTACTATATAATTTCTTTTTGTGTAAAATTTCATAGTTGGACACGGCATACAGCTTTTCATTGCGGTTACGCATACGCCGCCCTGCCCCGCTGGCAGACGTGCGTGCCATAAATAGCGAATGGAAAAGTCGGCGGGGCAGTGGCAGTGGAAGTGCAAGTGGTTGGAAATGAAAATGGCAGGGCTCATCCATTCCACTTGCAGCGAATTGCAAGTCAACGCCAAGTGTCTTAAGTATGCAAAAAGAAAATCTGTAGAGAGCGCGGGCGGTGGCTGAACTCTTAACTCAAGTCTGGACAGGTGATTTAAAAGCCATTTGTCAGCCAAGCAGTAAGATGGTCTGGGTGATTGGCTTGGGTCAGTGAAATTATTCAAATTATCCCTGAGAAGATTTCGCTGTCAGGATCTGGCAGACGACTGCAGTTGTTTTGGTGGTGGTGGTGGTAAGGTAGATAGGATGGTAGGCGGCAATCAAATGGCCTTAGTGGCATTCTTTTATCGCCCATCCGCATTCGCGTCTGCACTCCACGCAATCCTCCAGTTGACAGCAAACAGCCAAGAGCCAAGCATTCTGAATCCAGAATCCAGAGACCCAGGGACCCCCATTTGTTGTCGCTGATGGCAACCGACTGGATATCCCATCTATTATAAGTGCTTACCACTCGCCGACGAGCATTGACATTTGGCTAATGGCGAAAATGTCACCGAAATGCAGACTCCAGACTGAGACAGGCAAATAAACAGCTCTCTAGGGAAGAGAAGGCGTGGTTCAGGCTTAGCATGGCCCCTCACAGAAGTCTCGAAATAACAATAGCAAAACGAAACGGAAATCATAATTCTGTAACCTTGACCCATCTGAGTTTTCAATCAGCTTACCTATAATTTCGTTTTCCCAGGCCATCAATCATTTTTCATGCATCAATTAAGGTTATGATGATGAACTCCTTTTGGGTATTACTTGCAATATAGGGAATGAAGTTAACTTCCTACAACAGGACTATTGAAACCGAAAACATTCAAAATTCAATCCAATGTTTTCTTTTTATGAAAAGATATGAAAGGTAAGAAAAGTATGGTAGAAAGGAAGAAGGGTACTTATTGCTACTATTTCTCACTTATTAAAATCAAAGTTATTTTCTTCCAGTGTAATTTTAAATAAAATCTTATTGGCCCTGCCTTGGTCTCAACTATTTATCAAATCTTATCAAAAACCAGAGGGGGCCAAAATTTCTTATCCACAGCCTAGCACATAATTCATTTAGCAGCGGGAAGTTGTGGTTGTGAGTGAAGCAAATCAAAAGCAATCATAAATCAAATCATTTGATTCATTGATTACATAACACATGCAATGCTACGCAGTCGTTTTGTGTGAGTGTGTGTGTGGCAGCTGTCTTAACGCGCCTATTTAATCAACCCAAACCCCTGACCTTATTCCACCCAAAGCCCAAAATATATATATGAGAGGAACCCACAGAGTTAAGGAGCCCAGTCGACTATTGATTAATAACAATACCCAGCATGGGGTAGCGAAAGAAAATTGCCTGCCTGGATTTGCTAATGGGCTATATCCCTTACCCCTCTGTAGTCCTTCGATGATTGGAGGAGGCCCTCAACTTAAAGCTGTTACAAAAATATGGCAACAATTAAAATTGCTGTGGCCCATTGTCTGAGCACACACAAAAGCAATTAACTGTCCGATTTGATAACAATGACAAATATAAATATACGTGTGTGCACTGGGAGAAAATGTAAGGACTTAGAGCTTCTTCGAAAATGTTTTTTCTCGTTATACATTAAACTAAAGGGAGGTTAAAGTTCTACCGCCTGAGTTTTAGTTAAAAAACTTTGTAAATCAATAATATTTTTCTATATCTTAAACATAAATTCAATAATAAGTTTCTTTCGCAGTGCCTGTATGCTGTGGTCGTAATTGAAAAGGACTCGATGCAGCCAGGGTCTGGTAAATGACTAAAAACAT